GTAATTTGAGGGCGTGGCTAGTTACCGTAGTCATTTAACCCCGGAGGTACTGCTCCCGTTGGCTGCTTTAACTGTGGGCATGGCTAGCTACCGTAGTTAAGGAGGCTCGGAGGTACTACTCCGGTTATATGGTGGCTGAATGAATCGGCGAATAACCCGAGGAATGATCCTATCTCGATACGGGTGAACCCGACCGTCGTATCGGTTAACCCTCCGGAAGTCTTTCCACTTGAGACAAGAATATTTTCAAACTTAATTCAGCAATTACTTCCTGTTGGATTATTGTATAAGCAATAGCGTATGTCCAAGTATTTTGCCATCAAATGTAGGAATGGGGATAGCTGCGTTGTTAGAATTATCTTTTCGTTTCAGTTTAAGCTGTCGTAATCCAATGGCACAAAAAGTTTTATTTTTCCATGATTCAGTCAATTACCCCAATGTTTCCGAAAAATTATTCTATTCTCACACAAAATGTTTTCCTGTATAAATTTGTTCATTCGCGCCAATTGAATGCGCTTCTATATGTTCACTTCGAATCAGTCACATGATATAATTGTTTTGAATATTTTCACATGAGTTCAAAGGATGTTGAATGTTTTATTTTTGAATAGCGCTTAGTTTTTCAGCTGCGACCAAAAGCACTCACTAACTGGTGCCTGATGCATAATCTGAAGTGAGGAGTCGAAAGTGTTGATTGTATAATAATATAATTACTTTTATTTTGTGCTATTGCAAACTTTTTTTGAAATCACCATGAGATGTACTAGTTTCATTGTAATTCTTTTACTTTTTCGTCGATTTTGAAGCTGGAGTATGTGTGGGGTTAAAGATTTTCTTGTGTTGTTGTTCATCTATGAATTGAAAGAGCTCTTTAATGGCCATATTAGAGCTCTTTCAGGTGTACCTCACAGCAAGACACCTGCAGTTGTTGCCTTACGAAAAGTTTACGACGTTTGACTTTAACATTTTATTCCCTGGCCGCGTTCACAGTACATATTCACTCGTGATCAGATTACAGTTTGCTCGTAGATTGCAGTTTCCACAGTGAGGTTAGAGCGCAGATGGTGTAAACCTACTCTACGTTCTCTGCCTTCTCTAACGTTTACTCCAAGTAAGGCGCGTTAGAGCTGTTGGTATTTGTGCGTTATTGAGTGTTTTCTGGTGAATTTTTTTTTTCAGAGTTTATATTAGGGAAAAATTTAATAGTTTGCTGAAACTGGGGAATGTGTAGAATGGGATAGTGTGAAAACATCGTTGTGCGTATGGCGAAACGTGCAGAGAGCAATCAGTGCTTTGAGTATAGTGATCTTGATCGTGCGAATATAGCACCAGTATTTAATGGTGACTGCCCAATTGTGACCGCCCTGACTTCGCCGAAAAATCCCTTAAATTTATATTAACAGTGTGTCGCATTGCACCGATTCTAGTCCTTTTTCTGACCGTCTATTAGAAATCATTCGCCAGCGTTGCGCTATGACAATTGTTCTTTTTCAGTTTTCAACATTAAAACTTTTAATCGTTCACATTCTCTCAACACTAAAACGTTAGGGGCGCATGTATGAAGATATTTTTCGGCGTCTTTTAAACGAACCCATCCAAAAACAATAAATTTCACATCGCACTGCCAAATGCAGACGAACTCAAGCTGCCAAGTAGTGAATTGGCAACTTAAAACGTTACTACAATGTTTCGATTTCATCAAAATTTCAGCACAAAACATTTTTTAGAATTTTCATGAACGATTCATTTCTTTTTTTGAAGCGTGACTTTTTCTGCGATACACTTAGAATGTCTGTTAGAAGGTGCATTTAAAAGAATATAAAGAACCACTGCAGATCGTATGTTATGTTCACGTTGTGGGTTCTCTTCGGCGGTTCTGCGGCATTTCGCATTTCGTTCGTTCGGTAAAGATGCTCAAGGATCGATCGCTGGTTATGCCTCACGGCCGAAATACGACNGATTAACTTCTTGTGCGAAGGCTCATCTTCAAACAACTCCTCCAACCGTATCCAAATATTCAGTCATTGTCAACAACGAGCATAAACTTGTAATATGCGAGGTGTATCATTCATGATTTTGTGAAAATATCGTGAAACCATCTTAATACGACAAATTTTATTAAAAGTTCCATCTTTCTCGACGCTGGTACCTTTGTAACTTTTCCGAGAAATTTTGAATCATTGTTTTATGGTGATTGAGAATTCTCTGTTCATTGAATCATTATTAAGATCACCTACAACTGATCGTATGTTTAGGCAAAAACTGAGGTTCAGTCGCAGCTACAGCCCAAAAAACGTCGTTCGTTGTTTGGCACAAGCGATGTTCCCGTGAATATTAATTTTCCGAACAAAAAAGGTGTTGTTGGCTACGATCCGGAAATGCCCATAAAAGAAATGCTCACCGAAGCCCCTCAAGTAACCAAGGAACACCTCAAGGTTACCAGATTCCTGTTGCTTTCAGCAGTGACGTTAATTCTTTGTTATCGGAATGGCTTACATAGATACCATTCGAAAATAACAGCTTTTCCTAAGAAGCGCGAAATCACTAAGCTCTTTAGATGTTTCTCGACGAAATGAAAGGAAACGTGTCTATCGAGAAGAAAGAAATGATCGAAAATATGGGAATGTTGAAGCATGGAGAAGCACGTAAAGAATACGTTTTCGATTCACCTGAAGTAAGTAAACGTTCGCATTTTAATCCAGCAGTTATTCGTTAAACTTCTTCTGAGTTTGATTTCTGTTAATGATTATTCTCGAAGGTTTGAATGGACGACTACAATCTCGTGTGTGACATCAATTTTGATTATTCCAGGCACTACGTTTATGGCATACGGGATGCGATTCGGATTGGGGTGAAGGATATTCCAAGTGTGAATTCGTTCCAACCGACCGAAAGACTGCCGTCTTTAGAGGCGAATTGAGTACTAAAGTTATTAAGGTATCATTTAGATTGAATTTATTCCTCTGTTGTAGAAGTGAATGCATTGATGACATTCTAGGATGGACGAGTTCAACGAGCCGGATGGGCGGCCATAAAACTGGAAGATAGGAAGTCCTTCCTGCGGAAGAAATACCTCCCAAGATGGGCAAGTTTCTCACACCTTCTTATCAAAGTAAGTTTGCTTCTCGCTGTACGAACACTCAAATTTTGTGAGAAGCATTAAATTTTTAGTTTTTCATGGGTTTAAAATGGTTCTCTTAATAGTTCTTGCTTACGATCAGTTTCACTCAAAATACTGGATGTTGTAGTGCAGAGGTGATGGTCGATCCTACAAGGTTATGTTGTATACACCAGGAGCGATCGATGTGACTTGGGGTGATAGTTTCTCGTATCCGTTGCATACACATGGCGGCCCGTATTGGCAATACGAACGAATCCCTTTCTCGAGATTCTTTCATACGGTCGCTGGGCGCATACAGGATCGACAGCAACGCGTTTGCTTAGAAAATCTGAGGTGAGTCATTATGAGTCTTGTGGCTATCCGTATTTCGTGGTGTGTGGCAACCAATCAGTCTTTCTCCTTTAAAATAGAACGGATCCAAAGATTGGGAACTATGAATCTAATTGAGTAAATGATGATCTCGGGACGGGAATATGCTGTAGCGACTCAGTCTGATTGCAGAGGCTCGATTTCTTTATGTTCTGTCGTTTGGGATATAACTGGTGCCATGGGATTATTGCATTTGAAAAACTTTAAACTGTAACCCAATTGTTCATAAGTGATCACTGCAAACGGTGAATAGTATGTGTAGAAATGATGAAAGAACGAATCATACACGATGAACTTCTGATGCAAATTTTTCAAGTGAATAGCAGATGATTTTCACAACACTTATCAAAAAGAACTGTTTTGTTTGTTACTGTTGCAGTTCGATTGGTATAGTGCTGATGGATCGAATGGACGGCGAATTCCACTTGGAACTGGATTTTATTGGTGTCTGTCATGATCGCTCACATATTGAGAAATTTGCCTATGAGTCATATTCATTGCCGATCTTCAGCCCTCAAGGATTCTAGTTAAACATCATAACACATACCGAGTTCATACAATGAAAACAGTGCCGAGAATGAACAACTGTAATTAAAAGGAATAAATATTTTCATTAGCATTCAACGAGCGAATCGCATCTGCTCACAAAATTAGGAATTCGACAAATCTTCTATGCTTCAAATAACTTCTGGGTTGGTTTTGTTTCTGGATGAAGGAGGGTGTTGCACAATATAGTTTTCTTCTTATGGGAATAATCGCAGATTTATTCATTTGAATTGGATGCACCAATGTTTCGACTCAGCCTCACATTAGTTTCATCAATCTCGTGAAATTGACCCGCGGTAAACGCCTTTTTCAAACTTTGTTCATCTTCAAATTCAACGAATGCGAAACCTCGATTAACACCCAGTCGTTGATCCTGTAATCACTGAATTTTATTGGAAAAATCATCATCAGTTGACGGAAAGGTCAACGCTGATTCAAATTATTTTATGATACTAAAGTATTCACACTGATGATATTATAAGAATAACCAACCCCATTTCCAGTGTTTGTAAAGTCAAGAGACAAAGAAGGAAATATGAAGAGAAGGAAAAGCAAAAGACCTACCAGCGGTACTGTGACATTTTTGATTTTGCCAAATTGCGAGAAATAATCGAGAAGTTGTTCTGAAAGGAATTGTTTTGGTATATGTCTGCTTGAGGGTATTCTGGTGGAATTTTTTCCATAAAGGGTAAGTTAGAGAATAAGAGCCATCGAATACGTTCCAAAAGGAACGAAATCCAGTTACTATTATAATTGTAAGAGATCTTCAGTCTCTCAAACACTGCTCCTATCATGCTAAATATTCTCGGAAATTAGCTGACTTTTCGAGGTAACCCAACTCAGGTTGGACACATGAAGAGTGTGGTTTGAAGTTGACGTTGAAAGAGCTTCCCGAACAGCGCGCAGAATCGTTAAACGCATTGCTGGAAATATATCATGGAAGAGTTTTGCAATAACTTTTAGCCACAATAAGAGGAATAAGAACTGAGCCTGATTCAATCAGCTGAGCCTCTAAAATGCTTTCTGCGTGTACGTCAGTAGATTTGGAACAACTACAAGTTTCATAACATTTCACGAACAACTGACTCTAAAATCCATCCTCTCAAAAATGGATACACATTTCAAGGATTGACTCAAAACTTCATTCTGTAAAAATGGATACTCTTCGATGTCATTTCAAAAAGCGCTCAATAGTTTCTGACTTGGTAATGTGTTGCTTCAAAACATCATTGTTCGGATTCGAAAAATTACCGATTCATAAGAGATTAGCGATGTGAACAAATGGGAATTTATCTGAAGCAATGTTTATTCCTGTGATATGTATGTACAAACTTCATCCACTCGTTCACAATCACTCTCGAAGGCGGTGATCTGTCATTCACCAATCGAAATAAATTAGATTAATTCTCTTGAAGAATAAATTAACCGCAAAATGCTCTGTTCATTAACAAAAAGGACATCAAGTCATACGAGCACGTAACATAATATTTTCATAACAGTTCCAGAAAATTAATAGATACATCTAACACTCATATTTCTCCGCAGAGATGGGAAAATCAACGTTCGGATATGAACAGTTATACGAGAACAATTGTGAGCAATAGAAAAAAAAGAGCCTTCCTGAGATTCGCAGTGATCAGGAAGACCACAACACTAAAAAATCGCCCATCACAGGTAGTCCGGCAGTTCCATCAGGTATGATTGATTCTCGAAAACATGATATCCAGAAACATATGCTTAAGTACTTTCGCCATGTATATAAGTAATACTGTTAGGTAGGAAACAAAATCTTCAACAAAAAAAAAAAACAAACGAACGAACAGGCGACCAAATGAATATGAAATAAGCAATCTCAATACATATGAAAACAACTCAAAGATATCTTCACGAAGGCATTTGAAATGCGGCAAAAACAGGCAGAATGAAGCAAAACAAAGATGAGACTATGGATTTGGTGTGAACAATTGCATTGAGAAGTCATGAGTTGAAATTTCCGTGAATTGCACCAATGAGTTATGATTCCGTGCCACTACATACATCATCACTGGACAACGAATTTCTTTTTTGGTTTCAGCGGAATTGAAAATTCGACACCGACCTGAAAAGTGCATACGTATGAGAATAAACAAAAACATGTACCAGAATCGAACAGAAAGGTCACCATCAGTTCGAACAAACAACACGATAGACGGGCATTTCTTTGTTGTTATTATGAATCAGTTCATTCAATTGACCTGCTCATTTAAAGAAATACATTTTCCATGGAAATTCTCATGCATAATTCATGAATCGGTAAGCAAAAAAATGAGTGAGAAGTGCGGATATAAATACAATCGTAATAACGATGTGAATCAAGATCGTACCAGATCTCCATCAATAACGTGCGGTCTTTGCTGAACGGCAGCAGCGGCACTTTCCGGTTTGACAAATGTCAGCGATGCAAAACCACGATGTAATCCCGANCTTGATGGCTCCGGAGAATCGCAATCAATCAACTATTCTCGTTCCCAACCATTACGAACAATGAGAACAAACAAATTGTACGACAAAATGTCGTAGAATAAAGATTCCATTACTTACAAAGAAAAGTGAAACGTCTTTGACTGGTCCAAACCGACTGAAATACTTCTCCAGTTGCTCTGAAATTCAACGGCGTTTAAGTGGAATAAATGAGACCTCATTACTTTGTCTCTACATTATGAATAAATCAATTGTTAAAGAGTTCAAAATGAACTGACTAAATTTTGTAACAATTGAACAACGAAAACAATTGCACCAACAGTAATAAACAGTCAAATTCATAGATTTTCGTTAACAACTACTGCAAATCAAATTTCACATGACACAAATCTGCATGAATAATGAACAAAACAAACAAAAAACTAAAAGATAAACGTGGATGAAACCCACTACTTTTTCCGGTGACCCATTTTACATGCGTCAAATAAACCGTTTGATTAATTTGCGAAGAGTGCTCTAAGAATGCACTTGACAATGCCTTGGCAAACCGGAATACCGTCTGCCTCATCACCGAACAACAATATCTTCAACAAATGTAACTTAACTGCTCAACAAGACTTTTGTGATTCAATATACTACAAATCGTAATTCCAAATTCAAATGAAAATCATTTCATTCCAAATGAACTGAAATGAACTCGAATCGTAAACCTCACTCACAATCCGATATCAAAATATCAAAACTGCAGCAACGAAAAGAAAGAGACTTCACAATTTCGCAATCAAATGTTTTTGTTGACGATCTAATTAGTAATGTTGTAACAATGACATCACTCACAATCTCATTAGATATTATCAATCAAAGAAGTTAGTATCTGTTCGCCAATTACATCAGCAGCACACTGCCAATGGTGAGTGGCAAATGTCTTCAGTTGATATAGCTAACTGGTTATTTGCATCGCCTTTTCGCTCGACAATGGACTTCGCAAAGCATCTCTAAGCACAGATCCAGAAGAACCCAGGAAGCCTAGGAAGCAGTAGAACACCGCAATTCACTGAGAATATGCACAGCCGTGACGAGAAAAATTACACGAAGCAGTGCAATCGTGCAATTTTACTCTATTGAACTCTATCACTTTCATGAGCACGAGGTCTGGGTCATGGACACTGTTTCGATTCCCTACGCAGTCATACTGCCGAAGAAAGTGGCTCAAGAGACTTCGAGTTTCGAGCCCTTCCGAACCATATACACTCAAGGACTGAGAAGTCGACTGAACCACTGCAACAGAATATGGGACACTTTGAAGCGAACGATTAGTTATTATAACAAACAAAATCCTTTCGAAGATGGTACTATATCGAGAATGTAATTTATTAGGTCGCTTTAGAAATTTATTTATGGTGGGCAAAATTGTTTTAAGAAAAATGAATGTAACAAATTCAAAATTTAGGTGCTGCCGGTTGGATTTACCGAAGGAACCGGAATGGTTAGTGGCTGCGCAACACTGTCTGAGAAACTGTTCACATCGTCAACGAGCAATGATTCATTTCGTTCTCATTTACAGTTGCCTGTTTCACGGTTTTTTGCGTTTTTCATATTTAGTTTGACCAAAAATGCTCTCGTGCCTCATTTATCATTCCGTGCGTTTGTCAAATTCTTCTCTCTTGTTCAGCGATACATATTTGGATGCTTTGAATAATTGGAATCAACATTTGAACAAATTCATCAACTTTCCACTGCCTCTGATAATTGAAAGGCAATACATCAGAACAAAACTTCACTGCACGTATTCAAAAAATCTTGTTAGTTTTTTTCGATTGTAGGCGTAGATTGCTTGACCTTTTATCTTAATTAATGATTTAATTTCACTTCTCAGTTCATGACTTTTGTTCTTAATTTTATCAGTGAAAAACATAAATGATTTTTTTNAAATTTTTAATTGATTTTTTCTTAATTCATTCATCAGCTCTACAATTTGGTCTTCTAACAATGAAGTTATTTATTCATCGATTTTGCTTTATTAGGTAGTAGTCTATTTCCGCTTCAATTAATCAACACAAAATATACAAGCAAATAATGCAATATGAACACTCAAAACAACACTATAACGTATAATATTTATAAAATATTATAATTTATCAGTTCGAATTCAATACTGCGACCTTTCTGAAGGTTCACAATGTTTCTCGAATTCGGCCGCCTGAGGTACAGCTGATGTCACTGTTCGTTCAAGGCTATAGTTTTTGGGATTTCCGTTCGCTTCTGCGCCAGTTGGTGGATACGTCTGCTGGCATTTATCTTTGATCACCGTTGACGCACCACCGATAGTCAGTAAAAGTACGGGCAAGAAGAGAACACCGTGCAGTACTCCGAGTATAATCACCAGAAATGTGGTCTTAACGAAGACGTATACCATGTAAGAATCAATGACTAGTAGCGGTGAAATACTCAACATTGTCGATAGGGCAGCTTGGATCATTGGCCATCCTATTGATCTGAAATATCCAATAGTTCAACACATTGAAGTTTCAGGATTGAAATAAAATTGTATTTCAGAATGTGAGTAATGCCACGATCAATAACTCATTGATCTTGATCTGATCTGAACGAGCGAGAAGAAAGTAGCCGAATAGTTTTCAGATGTTTTAAATAATCATCGTCNAGAATTGAAGAACAATTTTTAGGCGACTTAACAGAATACTAACCTCAATGCATCAGCGAGTCGCACGTCTGATGGCCATCCTTGCGGACATCGGTAATAATGATAGCTGATATGTGCGGTGAAATCAACCGAAAAGCCAATAGACATCAGAGTGGTACACATTGCCAGTGGATCAAGATAAACGCCGAGTAGCGATAGGCCACCGAACACACCCAAATTGATCGATATCATCGCCAATGTACTGAAGCACTCATCAAATGCGAAATTCCTCTGATTATTGATTCATTGATAACCGTACTTACATCAAATGGCAATCATTGGCTAACAGGAATTAACCGAGTTGAGTGAAAGAGGAAGCTTGTAAGATCATTTGCTATTCAGAGAACTGTTCAATATAATTTCATCGAACAGATTTACTGGTAAAACGCCGAAATACAAGGATTTATTTAGAGGAGATCCTCGTAATATACCTTGAAATAATGGACGAAGCCGATGGAATCATCAGGAGGCATGCAATCGCCATTGTTGCCATTGCTACAACCACTGTACTCACTGTTGTTGGTTTGATCGAATTCAGCTGATCAACATAGAAACTGAACGGCTGAAATTAATCGTACGTTTTTTTGCTGGAAATTTTCTAAAGATCCGGATTAGACGAACACTTGCGAATTATTCAGGTTGCGAATAATCAGCACATTGTTGACGGCGTTGACAACGCCGTATATTGACTGTAGCAAGCAAATGCTTCAGTCGTATTTACTGTCGTATTTGGAAGTTATGAAACATGAAGTCGTTACAAGCGATCTGGATGGTCTGCGGATAAATTTTCAGGATGAAAGAGATTCAACGTTGAAGATAGAGTGAAGCTGTCATCAAACTATGTTTTGTTTCAAATTTCTTGACAAAACAATGATGTTCGCAATCTTGCTGGTGGATGCATGTTTGATAGGTGACGAAGAAGCTTCAAGTGAGAGGAAAAGTATGAACCTGAAATACGGTGACGTTAAGGCGTTGATAGTCCATTGCGAGACGTCTCCAGTCTTGTTGCAGTTGTGCTCGCAGTGTCCACGACGCAGCGTTGCCCATTGCCGATGCAGTTGCAAACATGAATTTCTCCACTCCAACCACCGAACCATTCAACCGTTTCAACCGTATCATATCGTTCCATCGACCACCGCCATTCTCATGATCCTACATTGATATTTTATAAACATCATAATCTCATAACCCTCCGAAAATTTCGATCATTAAGGACTCCTTAAGTGATTCTAACCAACAAAGAATCCTATATCGTATGTCCTGTATCGGGATAAAGTCCATTCTGGTTTCGGAATTCTCACTGAGTGAGAATTTTTTCAAATTTTTGCAGACAGACTATTCACCTCGAGCCATTCAGCGAGTATCTCAAAGAATCCTCGAGTACGCTGTTGATATTCGTTATACATTGAGATATGCGAAAGGAACGGACGTAGCCACAAGGAAGTCGAATTACGTCCCATTGAATATGGTAACGTTTCGAAACGTTGAACCATCTCGAGAATATTCAACTGATTCATTTTGATCGATAAATTTGGTGATTTGTTGACGAAAACGAAAACCTGAAAATCTAGATTTTTTTCCTCGAATGAATCCAACTGTTCAGTTTTTTTTTCTTCCGAACTCCTAGAAGGCAACTCCCTTTGATTCATCGATTAGATCAGTTGAAATTCTCATTGGTGCTTATTGTTAGATCAATTGAAATTCCAAACAGGAACCATACAGATTCCAGTGTGTTGCTTACATGTTCAGTGAATTTGATTTTATGTAACGAGACTGATATCAAATGGAAAAACGTTCGGAATTGGTGAAAGGGTACTCACTAATGAACCTTCTTGCCATAAGTATCTTTCATAAATCCACGCAACGTTATTTAGCGGCGAATCACCCAGCAAAAGGTTCGTACTGTCCATTTTGACGGTCATTTTTCGGCAGCCATATATTGCAGCCGCCCAATATATCAACAATACACCAAAAACCATCACCCGGTACTGAAATTTAAACATCTTTCACAACACAAAACTACCATCTTGTTCATTCAAAATGTTTGAGAGTGATGGCTCCTTCAGGCTTCCGAAATCACTCTGGAATAATGTTCTCACTGCATTTTCAGGTGAAATGCATACAGATTTTTGCGATCGGGAGTAACTTCGAGTACGGAATCGCACTGTACTTTTCAATTTTGCTCTTTTTTTTCTTTCAGGATCAAATGAACGTCAAATTCTAGTATTTCATCACTCGCCCACTCGAACTGTAACTGTTTCAAGTTGATGAAATTTTTTCGAAAATTTATCATCGACGTTTCCCTCAAACTCGTTGAGATATCAAAGTTTTCAATAGATCCGACCGCTAACCTGCCACATTCGTAACCTGCGGCAATACTTCGAAACAATACCATTGTGTGATCCGGGAATGTGATTCTGATTCTGCAAACTATCAAATAATAATATATTAAAGAAGTTAACAGCATTGATCATGACGGCCAATGTGATTATGATAATAGATCAGACATTTTCATCAGATCATTGAATTTCATAAAATGAGTGAGTGTTTCTAGGAAATGCTCAATGCATTTTCAAACTTCACCACTTCTATTTAGTTTTCATGCTATGCCGGAGATTTCATAGGATTGGACTAAACAATAAAGAATCTATCATCCAGTGAAAGTGAAAATTTGAAATATGGTTTCTGTCAGCGTTATAAGGTCATCAGAGCAGCATGACCGTCAGTATCAACCTTTTCAATAGTCAATCCAGTGAGAGCATTAATAATGCAAGTCGAAAAAGATAATTGCGTAGAATCAGGAACCGATGATCAATAAAAACTAGGCGAAGGGCAAATAGATTTGAACGAGAGAGAAGAGAGCGAGCGAGAAACAGTCACTCGACCTGAATTTTTTGTATTCCCAGAGCGATTTTCGATTTCGTCTCGGCGACTTTCGTCAGTCGTAAACCCTCGTAAACAATCACAGAAACAAAGAAAGTCACCTTAAGATGATTCATTAATATCTCTCTTAAAACATCATATTCCCTGTTTATACTCTACTTAAGAATGTTTGTGAGGTTAAACATTTGTCATTTCTTCTCAGATGTTAAATGTTAAACATTTAAATTTCTTGTAAGATTTCACAATTTGCACATGAATATTACTATAAATTAATGTTTACCCATTTATTACTATCACTCCGAATTTACTAATTTCTGTCCTCATTATCTGAATTTAATTTACTCATTACTTTGAGCTCATCAGTTACTCACTTGGTAGATGAAGTCAATGAGAACCCCAACTGCTGCATACAAACAGAACAGTCGTATTGCCGGCGTATTCGCTAAGGCTCCCACTCCAAAACTGAGACCATTGGTTAGTGAGGTTACCGTTATTGAAGGTCCAGCTTCTTGCATTGTGATCGCTGAAAAACTGATTCATTGGAATTACTCTCAGTGATTCACTTTGATCAAAATATCGTCGGGTGTCATTTGCAACTTCTTGATTACATCAAAGAATTTGAATGGTGACGGATATCGTGCCCGAGGAATCATTCCGGACAGATCGTTTTATTGTGCGCTACTCACCAATTCGTTTCGAGAGGTGATCAGCTGAACTGGTCTTCCGCCATGCATGAACTATGATAAAAACATCATCACAACCGACACCAATTATAAGAAATGGCACTACCAGTGTTATTGAATTGAATGGAAATCCGATTGCAGTCATCAAGTTGAAACTGAAATAAACTTTGTTATGTACTGCAAGAAGCGCTAGTGATTCAATGAATTCGCAACCCCCTATGAGTTTTGGTGGCCTGTAACACAATCATGCGTGAATTTATTTGATCAAAAGTGCTGAACAGAAATGATAAGTTTTCGAGATGGCTAAAAATGATCGACACGAGATTGTCAGTAGTCAGGAAGTCAGCTCACTTGAAATTGAAGAAAGCGAAATTGCAAAGATTTGAGAAACTGACTAACGTTGTAGCAATTGCCATTAGCGGTCCTATCGTACCGAAGAAAGCGATGAAAAGCGAATCTTTATACGTGAACAATTCATCATCACGATTGCGACCCGTAATGAAAATGAATATAAAAACGAATAAAACTGATATGCCAAAATATGGGATACAAGTGAATCCATTACGCCGTACCTGCAATTGATACAAACATCAAGTGCCTATACGGTGGACATTTCTTGGAGCAGCGAATTGGATTGTAACAATACGACTCGGATATCCTCGTCTGCATCACTCAAAATATTCACTTAGATGACGATTAAGTCAGATTAGTGTTTCCGACTGCAATACTGTTGCCGGATTCAAATGCTAATCTCTTTAATTGGCTGCTGCCTGAGGAATTTGGTTTTGACCAGGGAATATCGAATGCAAGTACTTTAGAGATTTGTTTTATGCAGTGATCACTTGAAAATTATGCGATGATGTAACAGACTGAATAGTAGAAA